GCACCTTGCTATTTTTCTATTACTTTGGAGATATTTCCATATCACTTACACATTGCATCCACCTCATTCTTTTTTCCCTGCTGTATAGTATTCCATTGCACAGTGGTATCATAGTTTATTTCAAAGATATCTTATTGATGGACATTCGGATCTTAACAAGGAATTGAATTTAAATAATTTGGAAATTTCTACAATATGAAAGGTCAGCTGAAGTTGAAACCAAATACTGCTTCTTTTCACAGATTCAAGACTTGCCTCCACAATATCTTTGACCAGAAGGGGGAACGCAAGCGTTTATGAGGAGAGGTAAAACCTAGGAAATTTCCCCGAGCCCATGGGGAAGCTGTCGGGCCGGCAGGGAATTACTGCCGGGAAGGAGTTCGCAGATGGGCACCCTGCTGCTGGAGTAGAAAGCCGTGCTCCAAGCCAAGCCTTCTCCGGGCTGCAGCTCAGATAACTGTATACCGAAGTGTGTCCTGGCTATGCATAGTGCCGTGATGCGTGGCCGTCTCCAGCCTCCTGAAGGCATCCCCTACCCAGGCCGGGTCTGAACCCCCACCGCCTCCTGCCCACGCGCATAGGGGGCGTACACGTGGTGACCTGCCTGGGGCCGGTTCCCGGCTCCGGCTCCTCCTCCCTCCAGCTCTCACTCTGCTTTCTGCAGTATCACGTGCAGCCTAGCCGGGTGCAGGATGGCGGCGGCGGTGGCGGGTGTCAGGCTCCGANTTAATAAACATAACATGAATGAATCTTAAATGCATTATGCTGTCTTAGTAAGGGAAGCCAGACCCAAAAATGCTACCTACCATATTATTCCATTTATGTGACATTCTGGAAAAGGAAACCATAGGGGAACAGATCAGTAGTTCCCAGAAGGTGGGATATGGGGAAAAGTTGACTGCAACAGGACAGCAAGAGAATTTTGGGGGGGTGATGAAACTACTTTTGATTGTGATGGAATATATATTTGTCAAAACTTAGAACAGAACACCAAAAAGTAAATTTTACTATGTAATTGTAAAAATAAGTAAAACCTTTCAAACATATTAGAGCATTTTATGTTGGAAAGGTTTAAAACGTTTTATTTACTTTAAAAATAAGTAAAAATAAAAATAAATACTGGCCCATCGTAAATTTAAACAATACAGGGAACTCAGGAAAAAAGTCTCCCCCCTAGATCTTTGTGATGATAGAGTAGGTCTGTATTTTGGTTACAGTGATGGTTTCATAAATCTATCATTTGATCAAATGACATAGAACTGTCCACACACATTATACCAATGTCGATTTCCTGCTTTTGATATTGTACTATAGTTAATAAGTAGCCATTGGGGGAAACTGAATGAAGGGTACAAGGATCTATCTCTCTGTATTATCTTTGCAATTTCCAGTTAATCTATAATTTTTTTTTAAAGTCTCTCTCAGCTAAGCTTCCTGATTCAAATCTTGTTCCCTTGAGGTAAACACTACTACAAGTATCTTCTGTACTCTCTGCATTTTAAATCTACTATTTATGTACATGCATATAGTCATATGTATGTGTATATGTACATATGAATTTATACAGAAATACTTTTAACACAACTGGTAGCATATTGTGCACATTCTTCTGCACCTTGCTATTTTTCTATTACTTTGGAGATATTTCCATATCACTTACACATTGCATCCA